GCCTGCAGTTGAACTGCCCCTTGTAGCGCTGTCTTCGGGGTCTCAAATATTGTGTGGCACTTGTAATCCCAGCACTTTGGGAGGCTGAGGCAGGAAAATCATAAGTGTGAGCCCAGCCTGGGCAACATACCAAGACCCTGTCTCTAAATAAAAAGGGTTGGCAGTGTGGCCCAGTGTGAAGGGCCTAGTTTCAAGCCCCAGTACTGGAAAAAATAATTCTGCATGGGCAGAGTAAGAGGCTCCTATGCCTCAGAGCTCACCCGTACCACTACCAGTCCTGAGCCCGTGCAGAAGGTGCCACACCCAGGCCCGACAGAGATGAACCCTGCTGGGCGTGGACAGGAAGGTATGCCCAGGCCTCTTCCTCTTGCCCTCCCGGGCTACCGCAAAGGGTCACGTGGGCATTCCTGTGCCGTCCGTGTATGTGGCTGGGGATACCTGCTAGAGAGAGGAGCCGAGGGTGGCCTGCTGCGTGAAGGATCTCCTGTCTCCCACCCATGAGCCTGGGGAGCTGGGCAGAAAGCAGAAATGGACAGCGATGAGAATCCGTATTCTCATACATGTGCCTTTTCTTCCCCAAAGAATTGGAGCTCACTTCCAATAAAACCCCACGTCTCCTGCGGGGAGATGGCATGGCTAAGGAATCCAAAAGAGGGGGTCTTGTGTGTGTTCTTGAACCCCTCTCTCTGCCTTTGCTGGTCTCCTGTTTGCTCCTGGTGGGAACTAGGAGGAGCCTGGAAGCGAGCTCTCCGGTGAGGGCCACAGTGCAGGGTCTCGACTCCCTGAGGCGTAGCCCGGAGCTGTGCCACCCAGCGCAGAGGGGGCTTCTTGGCTTTCTGGCTGGGTGGTGAGTGATGCTGAGCAGCAGCCCGACAGATCTCCTTGATCACGGCTTCTTCCTGTCTCCCGGCTCGCTCTGCAGGCCAAGCAGTCCTTAGCCACGCTGACCAAGGACGTCCCCAAGCGGCATTCGCTCGCCATGCCAGGCGAGACGGTGCTCAATGGCAACCAGGAGTGGGTGGTGCAGGCGGACCTCCCGCTGACGGCAGCCATCCGGCAGAGTCAGCAGACCCTCTACCACTCCCACCCTCCCCACCCTGCAGACCGGCAAGGTGAGTCCCACTCAGCCTGGCCCTGCCATGGCTTCAAGCGCTTCTTAGGAGGCCGTCCAGCCTGGTGGGAGAGGCAGGTTCACACTAAAGCAACCTAGGACACTTTCTGGCAGAGACCATGAGCTTTTGTAACTGAAAAGGTTAAAAGATAGGCTTCATGAATAGCTGGCTCCAGAAGTTCAAACAACAGCTGAGTCTTCTCTCTGACCACTTCTCTCCGTCTTTCAGTTCTGCCCACCTCCATTGGACCTGCTACAGAAGCAAAACAGATCCCGAAAGTTCAATTCTTAAGGCCTTTAAAGCTCACAGATTTTGAGAAACAAAACTAGCTTTCATCTCTGTATCCATATCAAACTCAAAAAAGTCTAATTGGACAGCTTGGGTCCCATGTCCAATGCTGGCCTAACCATTGTGTCTAGAGAGGAGCTGGTACCATGATTGGTCAGCCTGTGTCACATGCCCACCCTGGACCAATCACTGTGTCTAGAGAGTAGCACATATCCTGATTGGCCAGCCTGGTCACATGCCCAACCTGGACCAATGACATGTCTACAGAGAAGTGGATGTTCTGATTGGCCAACAGCAGGGGAAGTGCCAGGGTCCTTGACTGACAACTCCAGCCAATCACAGGATATGCAGGAAGATGGAGCATAAATGTCACAAGTATATTTGCTCCAGATCGTTGGCGGAGGCTGTCTGAGCAGTGACCCTGGCCCTGGTCCTCAGCTTCTTTACGCATGAAAGGGGCGCTGGGTTCTCAGTGCAAGGTGTGGACTGCAAGTCTGTTTGCTGAGACTTCCTTCCGCCCACCTTATGGGGTTGTCATGGTGATGAAATGCACAGTTTCTGGAATGGAGCCCTGGTAAATATTAGCTGCTGCTCTCATCGGTATCACCGCCTCATTGTCCTCACTGATAGATGACACACGGGACGTTAGAACCTGATAGTGAACGACGGCAGAGTGCTCCCTCTGCTGCGTGGAGCGTGACTACCCACCGAAGCTGACTCTGTGGGTGGGACTGGGGGCTTCTCCTTTGGAGCCAAAAGGCAAAGCCAGAAGAGCTCGGAATAAAACTGCACATGTCCAGCTCCCTCTTCGGGCAGGGAAACGGAGCCTCTTGGAGGGCTGCCCCTTCATGTCCTCAAAGCCCAGGTGCACAGCCAGCTGTCCTGCTCCTGGACCAGCCTGGGGCAGCAGGAGGCAGAGGTGCTATTTGAAGAGAAACAGGGCAGCTTCAGAGTCACGTGGTGGCAGCTGACACCTGGCCATCTGCATCTGCAGCGGCAGGGTCTCTCCTCCGTGGAGCACATGGTAGACTGGGAGGGCTGACCGATCTGCCCTCTGGGTCCTGCCTCCTCTCCTGCCCTTGGCTCAGCCAGAACCATTTCTGCTTTTTATCTGACACTGCCTCCTCCAGGAAGCCTTCCCTGCTTTCTCCTCAGCCCTGTCCCCTGGGTGAGACGGGGCAGTCACTCCCCACACATCTCCCTGCAGACACCCTTGCCCTCCACTCTTTGCATTGGCCCAGTGACCCACCTTGCAGTAGGCATGTCACACACAGCTACCTTGTGTCATGGGGACCAGTCATCCCCATTTCCCAGCTACTAGAACCAGCTCAGAGAGGGTGGAGAGGTGCCCACAGCCACACAGCTCCCTCGGTGCAGTGCCAGCCCCTGCAGATGGGAGAGGCTTTGAGCTGGGCCCCTCATTCTCCCATTGTTTATTGAGCAGCTACTCGTGCTGGGCCGTGTGTGGTCTGGGGCTGGACACAGATAAGACACACAAGTGCCTCCTCCGTGGAGCTGACACCGTCTGCGAGCAGACAGATGGCGCCCGTGTTCATAGAGCAGCAGGAATCGGGGTGACGGTGTACCTGGCAGGCAGGGTACAGCAAAGCCAATGGGAGGGAGACGGCACATGTCAGCCTGGTCAGAAGGCCAGAGTGGCCCGAGCGCAGTGACAGTGTTAGGAGTTCCCACGGGAGCCTGAGGGCTGTGTGCCAGGCTTGGGGCCGGCAGGGGAACTGTTGTCTCCCGGCAGAGTGGTGAGACACCTTGGCTCCCGGTGTGGAGGGAGGCCCAGGGAGAGGCTGCCTCATCTCCCAGGCAAGAGACAACGCTTGCTGAGGGGTAGGGGATGTGGCTGGGCTTGGGGCTGTGTCTCAGAGGCATTTTGCTGGGGAAAAGAGAACCCAGAATCCCCTCCACTGACTTCAGGGATACTTCTTAGGAATCTGATGTTGAACAAAGGTGAAGGCCACACCAGGTCTAGGACCATCCGGGTGGAACTCCCAGGGGTGGGGCTTCATATGGCAGTGTCTCCTCAGCAGTTGCCCTCCGGGGCAGGCAAGACTCAGTATTCCCAGCTGTATAATGGGGGCATTGGGTAGGCAGGAAGGGCATCCCGTCCACCCTCACTCATCAGCTGTCCCTGCCTTCTAGCGGTCAGGGTGAGCCCCTGCCACTCCCGGCAGCCCTCCGTCATCTCCGACGCATCTGTGGCTGAAGGCGACCGATCGTCCACACCGAGCGACATCAACTCCCCGCGCCACCGGACGCACTCCCTCTGCAACGTAAGGCCAGCAGCAGCGGGGCTGGGTGCCCGGGCCTGCCGGGGACCGCAGGGCAGGGGGCGGGTAAAGTCGCTCCGGCTGTTTCCTCTCGTCCACCCAGGGAGTGCCCTGGCGAAGGAAGGCATTTCCTCTTCTGCTCTTTCCTTTTGCAAGAAGCGCTGGATGTGGGGAGAGAGAGAGAGAGGAGGCCCGTTTGCTCCTTGTGTCCGGGAGGGCGCGGAAAGCCCCGAGGAGGCCAGCCTGGGTCGGCCGCAGGGTCTGTGCAGCCTGCAACTCCGCCCGGTGGGCCCCATCTGGGTGGGCCCCGTTGAGGACCGTGGGCATCCCCCCCCAGGTGTTAGAGGTCACCTCTGGGACCCAGAACCTTCCAGAACCCTGTTTCCCTCAGCACTGGCTCTCGCCATTCATCTAGAGATGGAGCCCGATGGGTTTGGTTGGGATTTTTTACTTCCAGGGATTGGGGAAAGTATTTCTTCTGGAGAGAAGGCATCCTATGAATTGGCTCTAAATTTGTTTACTAATTTAATCAAACACTTCCGATTGTATCGTGGGTACCATCTGCTAGTAGACTCAGGTCTCCAGCCACCCAACTCTGGATGGCCAGGGAGTGAGGCTGCAGGGCTCGATATTAGTCCATTTCCACTGCTGTTACAGAATACCCGAGGCTGGGGGATTTATAAAGAAAAAAAAGGTTTGTTTAGCACACAGCTTTGGAGCATGGGGCCAGCTCTGGTGACAGCCCCCAAGGCACGTCACACAATGGCCATGGCAGGAGCACATGCAAGAGGGAGACCAGAAGCCAGAGAGCGGACAGGGCCTGTCTTGCCTTTTTATAACAACTCAAGAGAGTGAAGCCGCCAGGGTCCCCCGAGAATGACCTTAATTCCTTCCGAGGGCTGGCCTACATGAGAGAGTGGTCGGGAGCCGTGTCCAACCCTAGCATGGCACAGTGGGTCAGGTGTGGGAGCTGCTGAGAATGTTCTGTCATGTGGTTGGTGACCGAGGGCTTCCCTCCACGTCCTGCAGACAGACTTCGAAGGATCAGGTCTTGCGATGCCCAGGAAGGCTTTGTCAAAACCTCAGTTACTGTGGCTTTATTGACCAGTAAAGCATGTAGGAAAGAAACAGAGGCAAACATATTGGGAACAAAGACAAAGCCACTACTCGTAGGTGATGTGATTATGTGCCAGGGAGCCTTCAGACGGTGACTTGGAGACGATCAGAGCCCGTCGCAAGCCAGCTCATCAGGTACAGTGCGAAGATGAGTCATAGCTTCCCTGCAGCAGAGCCGTCAGGATGGAGACTTTCTTTCCATCTATAATAAGAACAAAACGCTCTTATAAAAATAGCTCAGGCTGTTTTGAGCCCAGGGGCCTCATGCAAGGCCCCGGCTCAGGACTGGGCTTCCCACCCCCAGCTGTGAGGGAGCAGAGGGGACCTCAGTGACAAAGGTGGTCTTGGTGGACAGAACCCAGGCAAGGAAGACAGGGCGCTCCCGGCATCCGCTCTGTGGCTCGGGTAGCCCCGTGTGCAGTCACCCCTGGAGCCAGCAGTGGCCTGTCCTTCCTGAGGGCCACACTCTGCCTCCTGGGGGCCTCGGACAGCAGGACCACTGGGTGCACGCTGGCGGGTGCATCCGAAGAGGGCTCTCAAGCTTCCTGGCCTCTGTCCAGCCTGCTGTGGTGCCAGGCCTGCTGGTGCTCTCATCGGTACGGACACTCTGGCAAACTGGCTAGTATTCTGCATACTGCTTTTCAGTGGTCCCTGGCTTGTTCTTTTACCCAAACATTTTGTGCCTGCAGAATGGGTGGCCAAATTTGAGCTGGGACCAAAGATTAAAGCCTTTTTTTAAAAAAAAAAAAAAAAAAAACTAGGGTCTTGCTATTTGCTATGTATTTAGTTCAGGCTGGTATTGAATTCACTATGTAGCCCAAGCTAGCTTAAAACTTGCAGTGATCCCCCTGCCTCAGCCTCCTGAGTGCTGGGGTCACAAGCATGCACCATCATGTCCAGTTAAACCATCATCTCTTATATTCTCTCCCCTGATCCCCAGCCTCTTGTCTGTCCGTCTCAACTGCAAGGCACACAGGCAAGGTAGACAAAGTCCTGAAATAACTGCAGGTTACCCACTGTTCTCGGGCATCTGACCTGACATCAGCAAGAACCTCACCCCTCCTGCTCCACCCCCATCCCCTGGCCACTGATTTAGGTCAGAGTTCCAGACTCCTCACGGAGAGGTTGGAAAACTTAGACATTGGTCATAGGGACGCAGTACTTTTTTGTGGGCAGGCTTTCTGCAACTCCAGAAACTACCTCCAGGGGGCCTCGTAACAGATCCAGTGTCTGTCTGCCCTTCCAGGTGAAGGCTTTTGCTCATCCACACAGACCAGTCAAGTTCTCCCGAGGCAGGGCTGGCAGTGCCTCCAGTTGTAAACGTCTCGTCTGCCCTGGGATGTCTGAGGCTCCCTAGGGAAGAGGGAGGGCGCTCCAGGGCAGCCCCAAGCTGAGGACTAAGTGTGTGGAGCCGCTGCTGGACTGGGAGGAATCGACCCTAACTTTGAGCTGCAGCTCTGCGTGTCATTAGCTCCGTGATGACGGACAGTCAAGTCCTCCCGCCCCGCCACAGAATAAGAGATTCACTGTGCTGCTTGGGGAAGCTGGCAGCTGCATGGTCTCCCAAGTGCATTTCTGACCTCATCTCATTATGCTTTGTATATATATATAAAAGTATATTTCTTTATGAGAAGCCACAAGTATAACCAACTCCAGTGTGAGTGCAGTAGACCCATTGGGACGAGAAACCCTAGAAGCCTGTTCATGTCACTGCTTTGTTGCTCAGAAAGTGCCGGGGTTGACAGGGCAGAGCAGGTGGGGAGCACCCCGGGGCCTCTGGCCGGGAGCCCTGGTCCAGACCACATCTCGATGAACCCAGGCCCCACGGGCCAGCCATCCGGCCTCAGGAGTTGGGCGGGGATGGGGGGGCGGTCCCCATGACAGAGGAGGGCGGCCTGGGGGATGGCGTCTTTCCGCATGTGTCACATGCTCTGCCGTTTCATCTCCTTCTTCTTCGGCCACAGGGCGACAGTCCCGGCCCGGTTCAGAAGAACCTGCACAACCCTATTGTACAGGTAGGTGTGCCTTCCCTGGCCACTGGGTCCCCAGGCGACCTGACCGTGCCTTGTCCCTTGTCCCCCTGGGCCTTCTTCCCCCCTGCTGCCACTCTCAGGCTCCCAAGGTAAACAGTCAGTGAACCACTTCCCAGGTCATCCGTGGGCCGGCACCTGGGGCCACCTATGCCGTGACCTCTGCCAGACACATAGATCTATTCCATGCGCCACATGACTCCTGTGCTGCTGCCCCAGCCTGCATCTTCCTGGGCTTAAAACTCGTTGTTCTTTAAAGGCTGATAAGCTAGGTGGTGGGCTCTGCTGGAAACTTTACCCATTTCAGCATTTTCAGTGTTCTGTTGTCAGCAGGGAGAGGGCTGCAGGAGCCACAAATGACATGAGGGCTGAAGGGGGTTGAGGCGGGCATCTGTGCCCAGCTGTGCCCATCTGCAGCGGGGTCTTCTGAGGGAGATGCAGGTTCCCAGGCCTCTGCCCTGGAGACGGTGTCCCAGTCCCTGTGGAGTGCCCTGGCAGCCGTGCCTCACCCTCTCGTGTGAACCCCAGCCTTCTGTGGCTAGCACCACCACGCGTCTCTGTACACACAGCGCTTGGCAGTTTGCAAAACTTGAATGCAGACCCCACCCCGATCCTGCAGCTCCCCCAACAGGGCGGGCAGAGCAGAGCAGGCCTCGTCATCATCCTCACTGTCCTTGCCGTTCCCAGACTGGGCTCGGAGAAGCTCCACAGGGGTGACCTGCTCAGGACCAGCCCTGCCCGCCCCTCCATGGCCCATGCTACCCTTGTCCAGGGCTGTCCCCTGCTCCTGCAGACAGACACACATTCCTCCTGCTGTGTGTGTTCCTGAGACAATGCACAGGGCCGGCTCCTAAGGCCTTGGACAAACTGAATTTAAATAATTATAATGGTACAAATGACACTAGCAACCCTGGACTATTCCAGATGGCTCTTACGTGCCAGACAGTCCTGAGCATCTTCTTTTTTGTTTGTTTGTTTGTTTTTTTTTGCAATATGGGCGATCAAACCCAGGGCCCTCATGCTGAGCCACATCCTCAGCCCTGTTTTATTTTTGTTTTGTTCTGTTTTTGAGATGGGATCTCAGAGTTGTTAAATTATCCCACTCTCATCCTCCTGCCTCAGCCTCCCTGAGTGCTAGGGTTTACAGGCATGCAGCAGTCTTGTGACTATCCTTGTCCTCACTAGAGTGACACCCTCATTATGACCTGGGATGCGTCCCATTGTCCCAGAGGAGTTTCAGAACTGACCCACATTTGCTTAGAGAGTGAGAGGCAGACCCTGTGATTCTGGCCCTAAGGACCCCTTACCTGTTCTTGTCCCCCCATGACCTTGAACCCTGCCCTTGACCCTAACCCTGGCCTCCCAGACTTTTGCACCCAGCTCAGCTCGTCTCTTTTCCTCTCCCCACCCTCCACCTGCCTTCTCAGTCACTAGAGGATCTTGAAGACCAAAAACGGAAAAAGAAGAAAGAAAAGATGGGATTCGGCTCCATCTCCCGCGTCTTTGCCAGGGGAAAGCAGCGGAAGTCCCTCGACCCCGGCCTCTTTGATGGTACCGCCCCTGATTATTACATAGAGGAGGACGCGGACTGGTGATACTGCCGCCTTCGCCCGCCGCCGCGGGCGTGTGTGTGGCCGTGCGTGGGAGCGAGCGTGGGGGGGCGTGGACCCGGGGTGGGGGTGCGTGTGCGCGTGTGGCCTCCCTGCCACGCGTGGGTGCTGCGTGTGGCCCAGTGCCCCGTCGGGCAGAAACACCGTGTGACCCTCCCCTGCGCCGTCACCTCTGTAACTGATGTACATACCGCAAACCGTGTGTGATTCTGTCAATTATGTTGTCTTAGAGCGATACAGTTGTGTTTGTTAATCTGGTTTATTATTTTTTTTTTCAATGTTTGGTTGTCTTTTTTTTTTTCTTCCATTTTGTTTGGTTCGTTGGTTTCTTTCTTTACCCTTCCCTCCTCCCCTCTCCTCCTCCTCTTTTTTATGAAACTTGAAAACTTGAAGGACTGCTGTGTATTTGTAAATAACAAAACTGTCACACCCTCCGTACTTGTAAATGTCCCTCGTCCAAACCGCTGCTCCTGGAGCCTGCCTCGCCGAGGACGTGGTCTGTTCTTGACGTCCCCCTCCTCCTGCTGCCCCGCCCCCAGTGTGAACCTGTAGGACCAGACCCCTGTTCTCGGGGTGCGCCCAAGTCACTTTAGCCACAAAATGCCATCGTCGTCAGGGTAAGGTCGCTCTCCGCAAAGACTCGTGAGCCCAGCCGGCCAAGGGCCTGCTCCCAGCCGGGTTTCTAGTAGGGTCACACGGGCCCTTTTTAATGGCCTGCCTGTTTTTAAATTGCGTTGCCGTTTCTTTCTTTATGGAAAAAAAAAGAAAAAGAAAATTGTCTTGTTTAATTTATTTGCACAAATGCAGAAGACATATTCTATCTAAATTATTACGTAAATATCGGAATGTATATTTTTCCATGGGGTGGGCGGGAGGCGGGGTTTTCGTTGACTCGTGTGTTCTATGTTCATGCTGCTGCGACGTAGAGGTTAGGGTGGCCAGAACCAGGGACCATCGGATGCCAGGCTTGCTTTTCCTTTCTCCTCTGGCCCTCCTGTCTCCCGCCCTGCATGAAAGGGCCACCTGCCGCCCCTCGCCCCTCCTTCTCTGGCCTTTCTCTCTCTATTTATTTATCTGACATGCAGAACACGACCTTTGAGCAGAGCGCAGACTGTCACAGGTCCCTTCTCAGGCCTGTCATTGGGAAAGGGGGGGGAGATGACTGAGGCGCATCTACAGGACGCCATGAGAGGGACCCGGGGCCTGAGACACTTGCCCGAGGGGCCAGCTGTGCGCTCCTGCCCACGGCTGTGCGCTTCCTGACCTCGGTTACTCTGCACATGGGCCAGGCAGGTGTCAGGGTGGTGGTACCCACCTTCAGGGGCAGGCTGCCAGGGACACAGGTCCAACACCTGACCCTCTGCCCTGCCTGTTGCAGTCGGTCCTTCAGCCACACCCATGTCTCTTGAGAACCCTCAGGCCCTGTCCCCCCAGCTGTCGAGGCAGCCTGAGTCCGCTCCCCCAGGAGAGGAGAGCCGGCAGGAGCCTCTGCCCATCTAGGGACCCGCGCTGGCCCCAGCGAGGTTCCCCCAGCCAGGAGCTCTGTGCACTCTGACTCGGGGTGAAGAGAGAGCCCCAGCGGCAATCCTTTGCCCTGTGACCCCGTCCTGCTCCTCCTTAACGACTAACCGCTCGGTCCACACAGCCCTCTGGACCACAGTAGTGGCGCTTCTGCTTACAGTGACCTTTTCAGCTGTTAGAAGGCAACAAGGCAATTTTCAAATGCTGGAGCATCTGGAATGGATAGGATATTTGGCCCAAAATGTCTAAAACAAAATGGAAAGCCCTGGTCAGCTCCTCTGTCCCTTCCGACCTACGTCGGGGCCAGGGAACGCACGCAGGGCATCTCAGCTGACTCTGCCTGCCTGCTTTGCCCGCCGTAACCCAGCCTGGGTGGTGAGCAGCAGTGGCCCCAGCGGGCATCCAGAGTCTAATTTTAGAAAATCTTTTCTCCCCCATGAATTTTTTTTTTTTTTTTGGTTGATTTTTATGGTTTTTCCTTTACTTATGAGAAAATACAATTGCAACCACTCTTGGTAATGATTTAGTAGTTCCTTTTCATTTCAGTTTTTGTAAATTAGGAGATAATTCTAAGAGTTACTGAGGATGATTTATTTAAGAGAACTACGTCAAATAGCGAATGAGTTATGGGTAACATTAGCTGAAAATAACCTTTCCCATGGGAAAGGTTTCTCAAAGGCATGGATGCAAATATAAAATATTAAAAAAAATCTAAATAAAGCTTATTTTAAAATATGATCGAATTCTATGTTATTTGATTGCTTCTATTTTGCTCTGGGTGGGAGGCTGTGCCCCCTGGGAGTCGCACCCCAGAATGACCTGCTCCTTGGAATTCCAGGGCTGGGTCCTCAGGGGGTGACAGGAGGGGCCGAGGAAAGCTGGCTGGATTCTGGCCTGTGGAAGGGCCACGCCGGGGTGGCCTCCCCGAAACGTCTTGCCACTGCTGCCCTGCCTGTAATTCGGGGGAGCCTCAGCCTCCAGGGCCAAACCCCAGTGGCCAGCACCCTGCATTTTGAGGGTCAGTGGCCATCAGCTTTCTTCTGCTTCCTCTCCCACCACCCTTTCCGAAGGCCCAGGGGGAGCCTGTGGCTTTGGGGCACATTACTTTCCATAAGCCTCCACCTTGTCCCCAAACCCCACCCTCCCTGGGGACTCAGAGCTTAAGAGAGAGAGAGGGAGTCATAGGGCTTCCTTGATTGAAGCCAGTGTGGGCATTTCTGAGCCCCATAAGGTCCTCCAGATGCAGAACTCAGTTTTTCCCCCAAGAGTCCATTGTGTCCCAGGAAGAGGTCTCCAGGTCACCCTCAACCCTGACTGTAGCCAGTGCCTCTGTCTCCCAGCTGGCAAACGATATTCTCCCCAGCAGTAAGACTAACGAAGGCCTGGCGTTTAAGTCTCCTGCCCTCTCTGCCGGGAGAAAGACAAAGCTATGCCAGACAGGCCAGGCCAAGGAGGTGTGAAACAGGACCCAGGTTAGTTTGGGCACTGGGAGACACCAAGGATTGAGCAGATCAGGAAAGCTCAGGACTACAACGAATTCAGGACCGTCTACTCCAGAATCCTCAGGGCCCATGCCTGGGGGTAAAACGCCAATGCAGGCCAGGGCCTTGGAATCTGTTTTTAATCCCCGGTGATTCTAGGTGGTGGCCTGGGTTGAACACCACTGGGCTAATCTGAGAAAGGCAGGTGTGAGACCACTGCACCCTGTGCCTGCCCTGCGCAGACATCACTAGTCAATCACAGAATCTCCCATGCATCCAGAGTGGCTCAGGGTAGCTGCCAAACCATCAGAGTTGGCACACAAGATAAAGCCTATTTGCTCTCTTGAAATTAACCCAGCCCCTCACACTAGAAAAACGCCTGAGGGAAACTTTGGCCCAGAGAGAAGTGGCTTAGCCATGGTCCTAGCGGGCACCTACTATCCTGTGGCCTTCTCAAGAGCAGGACCACATCATATTCAAAAGCAGGGCCAGCAGCTCCTCTGTGTTTTTTTGTTTTGTGTTGTTTTCCCGTGCTGAGGACAGAATCTGGGCCATGTGCATGCTAGGCAAATGCTCTACCACTGAGCTGCCACACTCCCAGTCTCAGTATTCCCTTTGCTAAAAAGATCTTGCTCCGATTATCCAACTTCTAGTGGTACCCATTGGTCAAAAATTGGAGTAGGGCTTTTAGGACCAGTGTTCCAGCTGCACAGGTTGTGCACTGCATTATGCCAAAAGATGCCATTCTCCAGGCTACCATGCGAATAGGTTGTGCACGTGCAGTTTGCAGGACTTTACTCAGCAGGCCTATCTTCATCCTCACCCATGCTGCTAGGCTCCACACAGTATAATCAGCAATAACAAAATAATAATAATATCTAACATTACTAAGCACTTACCATAGATCAGGCTCCATGCTGTGCACTTCTCATGTATTAACTCAGTTAAACCCCCATCCCCCAACAACAACAACTTGTATTACTGATGAGTAAACTGAAGTTAAGTCAAGCATTAAGGGTCACAGGACCTGAGCTTCAAACTTGGCAAGTCCGGCTGTACTCCGTATCTGGGCCAGGAGGGGCTGGGACTAAGCAGATGGGCCTGACCATCAGGGCCTGGCTCGAGGGCTTCGATCCTGAGGATTATCCCCACCCCAACATGTAGGGTACATCAGCAACTCCACTTCCACCAGTATGAGCCTATGGCCAGGAGCTGCCCCACACCAAGCCCACAGTATGGGGCCACTGCGCACTGCCGCGGGCATCACTGGGCCTGAGCTCAGGGGTCCAGGCACAGAGGCCGCCCTGAAAGGGATCAGCACTTTGACAACCTGGTTTTTGAAACACCTCTGAGTCCTCTCTCCCAAACTTTCATTCCCTAAGACCGACCTGTAGGCGCCCACTCCCTGTCTACCCACTCCAAGCAACTGGCTCTTAAGCTTTTTCAGCTTAGACACCCCAGGTGGAGCCAGTCATACCCCCGTTCCCTGCCTCCACCTGTGGTCAGTGGAAAAAAACAAACAAAAAAACCCTTGGTGATAATGTAGAGTCAACAAGGAATCCCTGTTAGTGTGCCCTATAAACAAGGATTCATAACTTTGCATTACAAAATAATGCCCTATAAACAGAAAAAACTTAGGAGCTTTTACAGAAGTTATTCAAAGTCATGGCACACTCAGCTGTGAAGTGCTAATCTACAGACAAAAATATCAGCCAGGCTTGGTGGTCCACATCTGTAATCCCAGCATTCATTGAGGTTAAGGCAGGAGGGTTGAAAGTTTGAGCCCAGCCTCAGTGACTTAGCAAGACCCTGCCTTAAAAAATATTAAAAATCACTTTAAAGGGCCAGGGGTGTAGTTCAGTGCAAAGGCCCTGCATTTTATCCCTGTACCACCAAAATGAAAAACGTATCAGTCTGTGTTGGTGCGAAGATTTCATCTTTGGGTCATACTCCTAGGATGTCCTAAAGACCATTCCTGGGAAATATGCAGACACCCAGCCCAGCACTCTCTCACTGGCTTGGGCACACTACCCACAATACCCTTCAGCCTTGACGAAACAACCCCCAAAGGACTAGGCTTTAAGGAGCAGCAGTAGCAAGAGCTGAATATTTTGACCTATCCTTCCTGAAAATGGCAGGACTTCCTCTTACCCAGTAGGTGCCTGGGGAGCTACTTCCTGAAAATGGCAGGACTTCCTCTTAGCCAGCAGGTGCCTAGGGAGGCATTTCCTGAAAATGGCAGACTTCTTCTTAGCCAATAGGTGTGCAGAGAGCCCTGCCACATTGCCAGGCTGTACACAGCTGCCACATTTCTGAGTCACAGTCCCCAGAAAATGCAGGCTGGTGGCTTGTTCACCTGAACCTGAGGTTCAGGTTTTAGAAATCCCTGGTTGCTTTCTTAATACATCACCAGGAAGCAGCCATTAGCTGCATCATGCGTCAACACAAGAGAAGCCATAAATTGCATACCACGCTCCCAGAATCCTCCAAGGAAGGATTTTCCCTTGGGAAGTCAGCTGTGCCCCCTCTGGAGGACCCTCCCAGCTCCCAGTGGGTGTCCGGCATGGCCTACATAGTCACTCCCAGCTGCGACCCTGCTTGGAATTTCAAGCAAACTATTTAACCCATGACCCTCAGGAATCTGTAAGGTGGGTGTCATACCCACCCCTCTGCATAGGCTCAGATAGGAAAGGTGAATGTATTTTGGAGACTGGAAAGGGCTCGCCTGAGGATTTGTGTTCATATAAGTTATAATGGGTTTAAGTTCAAGAGGCAGTTTTAAAAAATATAGCAGCAACTTGCCACATCTGGACCAAAGTAACTCAGAGTTGTCCCTAAGGGAAGTAAGGACATTGGGTTATGTGAACCTGGACCCTCCAGCAGCCAGGGTCTGCGAGCACCAGTCCTCAGAGTCCAAGGGCAGTCCCAGTACGGCCATGGCCACTCTGCCCTGAGACAGGGAGGGTATGAGGCCTTTGCTAAGAGCATCCCACCTCTCTAGAGCCTAGGAGGAGACAAGCTGGGCTTGTGGCCCCTGTGGGCAAGTTTAAAGCCAGGGCAGCAGCAAGGCTGCCCAGGGCTGGGTTCCGGGGACAGAAGCTGCAGAAGTACCCCAGGGGTGGCGCATGTGTAAGGACCCAGCATCAGAGCCCGGAGCTGGCCTGTCTGCAGCTAGGTAGCTTCATTTAGTACCTTCCTGTGCTGAGTGCTGTTCTGTTTCCAGATAATCGCTCATCTCCTCTCCCAACTCCTGCCCAGAGAAATCCTCCTGCAGATGAACACACCTAGCCACAGAGGGGTGAGGTTCTCTCGCAGAGTCACATGGTTAGGAAGAGGCAGAACCGGGTTCAAACTCCAGCAGTCTGGCTAGAGTTTTTGTCTTGGGGTCTTTGCCACACAACCTCAGGTCAGCCCCTGGCCCAAGATCCCCTTTAGGGTCAGCAGAAAGAAAGCTTCCGGGTGGGGCTGGGGATTTAGCTCAGCGGCAAAAGCACCTGCCTGGCAAGCGCAAGTTTGTGAGTTCGGTTCCCAGTACCGGAGAAAAAAAAAAAAAAAAAAAGAAAGCTTCCAGGAGAAAGTCTCAAAGGGAGGAGGAGACAAAGCCCTGAGTAGGTCAGCCCTTTGAGGCTGTTTTCAGCCCAAAAGAGGATGGACATGGGATAGATAGGAAGTTTGAAAACTGTTCTGTGGAACCCTGAGACGTTCCTCAGAGGTCCCTCTCAGGGCTGCCATAGCTGGTGATAGAACCAGCCAGCAGGTTCCGGTCCACCACCGGCCAGAGCCCGATACACACTGGACTTCCATGTAAGGGTCCTGGGGTAGAAAGAGGAAGCAGGATGAAAAAGGAATTAGGAAGTTTGAGAAGCACAGGTAGATCAGTAGCTGTCACACCTGGCCAAGCCTTGGCTATAGGACCAGGTTGCCAAGTCCTTCCCGCCGTACCAGAAGGGCCAGGCCTGAGCCCTGGGCTCTGGCTGCATGGCGAGCAAGCTCTCAGCGCGGCTCAGTCCCAGGAGGTTTCACAGGGTGCAGGCCGAGGGGCAGCACCGTGCCTGTGTGACATGGGCGGACCTGTCTGGGGCATCATAAGAAAGATAAAGCCACCTTCAGCAAAGTGAAGCCAAGGTGCCCTGCCGGGGAAGGACCACACCCAAGCAGGTCCCGAGGTGATGCCAAGACAGCTGCTGCCAGGGCCTTGTGGAGCCCACTGAACAGAAAGCCAAGGAGGCTGGGACAGGGCATCTGCCACCTCCAGCCAGCCC